TTATGGGAAAATCTTTTAATGATGTGCCTTGGGGGGTGGGAGGGTTCTTTAAAGAGATTGTACCACTTAATGAACACTGTTGAATCAGTTGCCCTAACTTAAAAAAAACAAACAACGAAGTTCCCCATCTTGTTCCGCTTCCCTTCTCGTGACAGAAGAAGCAAACGGTTAACGGCAAGACACAGAGACACAGAGGAGAGTGGGGTGGTGCTGGGGTGGGAATGTTCATCAACATCAAAGTGGGATTTTATTTTAAAAAACAAAACAAAGTCATAACAAGTACACAAGAAAAGATTTGATGTTATTGCTTTCATGCTGCTGTTGCACAGAGATTTCTAAGAGCACAAAAGTTTGTTTTTTGGGTGGGTGTCAGCAGGCGGAGAAGAAAGAGGGTGGTGGGCATGACGGAGTATGGGGGGCGTCTGCAGCTCACGTGCACACAGATGAAGTGAGAAACACGTCTTTCTGTCCCTTAGCCTGCTGCTGCTTTAAAGGTGCTTCTACAAACCCACAGAATGACTTCCATGAAATCTTATTCCTGCCAAATAAAGAGTCACTTTTGAATCTTTTTAATGATTAATACGATAGCTTTAACTACCTGTAGGCTTTAGGTCAGCTTCCTGCTTTCTGCACTTCAGCCTTTTATTTTGTATTTTCTCCTTAATTGTTTTGTCCTACAACAACGTTATGGTTCTTTTTTTTCTTTGTACCCACATAGAAGCTAGAGGCTGAACTGGCTTGTATTTAGTTGAGGGGGAGATGATGAGGGGTTTTTTTGGGCTGAGGGGGGAGTTCTGTGCCAGAGACCTGTGAATATGTTGCTTTTAAGCAGATGTGTAATTCAGAAGATGTATAAGTTCCATTTTTTTTTTGTGCGTGTGAGCGTGCGTACACGAGTACCTGGTGCTGGCTATGCTTTAGCAAACACTTTAAGGTATTGTGTATTCTCTCATTGTAATATAATTAAAATGTTTTATACAGAAAGCCGTGTGTGCTGGTGTCATCAGTGCTTTTCGGGGGAAGGTAGCAGATTAAAAACTGACGACCTACAACTGAACAAAGCTGAAAGAAAATGTAGGTAAAGACGTTGAAATGTTTCAGGGTTTCCTGTTTGGTTTACGCAGCTGCAAAACTGGAATATTGGGGGGATGTTTAAAGTTCAGAGTTCATCTTTTGTCAGCGTGACAGCGAAGAGACATTGGGTGACAGCGTCAACAAACAGGCGCAATTAACTCGACAAATAACTCGTCAAACTTTTATTAAATCTCAGCTTAACACTGACGAGCTTCAAAACATGTCTAGCTATTAAACTGAAAGTCCAGAGATTTATGGACATCTTACAGCACAAAACCCTAAAGACTTCTTAAAAATACATCACATGAATAATTTTTAATGATAAATAAAATGTTGCAGCGAAAAAACAAATCCAGTCGATTCCATCCTGAAGGGAATGCAGTTGTTGAAAACAGTTTACAACAGGGGTGTCAAACATACAGCCCGAGGGCCAGAACCGGCCCACCAAAAGTGTCCAATCCGGCCCAGCAGATGGGTTTAGAAGAAAAACTTACATTTTTGACATTTCACTGCATTTGTCAGTTTTATTATTTTATTATTACTGACAAAAACATCACGCACAGCATAGCATAATACACCTAAACAAAAATAATAAAATTATTCTATAAAATTAACAGTAAAGATCTCTTATTCATTCATTTCATTTCATCCAGAAAAAAAAATTTCTGTTATATTACAGAACAAAAAGACCCTTTTTCTGTTAATTTATGCCATTATTCCTTAACTTGAAAGCCAAACAGCCGTCCTTGTTTTTCATAATGCAGAACAACAGATATATTTAAAATTGCACTTCATGTTCATAACACATCATCGTTTAAGCGCGTAGTTAAACTTCTTTACACTGAATCTAAAGGGCAAACAATTGGCAGTGTGTTTTTAAGACTTTATTAGGCAGTACTGTAGTTTCACTGGTCCGACCAACTTAAGATAAAATTTCTCTCTATGCTGCCACAACACAGAGTTTGACACCCCTGGTTTACAATAAAATAAACTTCAACAGTAAAGAAGATTTTACTAAAGCTTTAAATTAGCTTAACTTTTTTCTTGTGATTATCCATGCATCAGTACAGACCTGCTGGCAGAAACATATATGCTTTCCAAACATAAGAACGATATTACAGCAGCCGCTGTGTGCTGACACCTATAACAGATATTCTCTGCAGTTTATTGCAGTGTCAAACCTGAAAAAATGAACCGTAAAGCATTTAAGTACAGTTAAGCATTCAACTACAGCTCTGATAACTAACCGATGAAGTTAAATTAAAATTACAAAGTCACGTGATCGTGATTTGGTCTAATTTGAGCTTTTAGCTGGAGCTCAATAATAAATGATATGTTAATAAATATAATAAACTTGAAAGAGCCAATGAGAAGAAAGCATATGTGCTGATAATAACGATGTTTATAATAGTCTTTGACAGCAGATTTGAAAAATGTCTTTAAATAAGCGGCTTAGACGCAGTGTTCACCGGTTAAAGCAGAGAGAGGTGCTGCTGGCTTGAAAGGCTAGCAGTTAGTCAGCAGAGGTAACCCGACAGAGGAGTCAGACTGTTTCTTATTACGGTAAGAGAAATCGTAAACAGCGAGCATACAGCAAAACTTCAAGATGATCGAGATGATCAAAGGCAATCATGCCGAGTCCACACACACACACACACACACACACACACACAGCTTTCAGATAAACTGCCGGGGTTTCTGTGGGACGGCAGCAGCTGAAGCCAGCGTCTTGGCTGCTTCTTTGGCCTTTTCTGACGCGTCCTTCACGGTGTCCCTGAGCAGCCGCTGGGGCGCCTCTCCTGTGGGAAGAGAGCGAGGGTGAGGCGGGAGAGAACGAGGACGACAGGCATCAGCAACACTGCGAGATCCTTGCTGAGATCAGGATGCTCACTGACACTTCTGTGGCCGATTTTCTCGTGACTTTCATGATTTAGTAGCTTGAGAAATGTGCTGCCTTTTTTTGTTCTGGTTGTTGTTTTTGGAGCCACCCACAGGAAACAAGCACACAGAAACACACGCCTTCAAAAATCAAAGAGAATACTTTTACTACAGTGAAGATAAAGTGAGCTCCTCTCCGTGCACTTGTTAACTTTTACCAGACAGTGCTCACTCAGTTCAGCGCTGTTACTAAGTCAGACCTAATTTCCTCTAACAGTCATTAAAGGTAAGGAAAGGTAAGGTGACACATACAAAAAATAAATACATATCAACAAGGACCTTTCTAAAAAGGCTTCACTGAATAAGTCTGCACTCTCCTCATCTGTATGCTGTCAGGAACAGCCTCATACTGGATTTAGCGCCAGGGGCTGCACAGTCTATTTGTGTCTGCCCTGACTATGAACCCCACAACCTCGTGTGAGAACAACAACCTGAGTCACAACAAGACACAGTGATTCCCCCCCCCACTCAAACATGAGATGATAAGGAGATACATTTCCTTCAATTCTGCACTTTTATTTTTTTAAACCGAGACGTAGATATGAAGTGCGAGTGTGCGTTAGCGCTGTCAAAGGGAAAGGGCTCTTTGTGTGTCTGAACGCTGACAATAACAGCGGGGAGGGACTCCTTACGGTCAAAAACAAAAGTCTCTCACGTTTTTCCAAGGCAGCACTTTTTAAACAAAGCAAAAATTGCTTATTGGATTTAAATGTAGTAAGCAATATTAAAAAGAAAAAAATCCAATCAGCAAACTATAGTGAAATTCATATCAGCAAAGATATGAACTTCTGGAGACGTGTGGTACTTTCAGATACTCGCATGGCAACTGTCTAAGAAAACATGTTTTGTATTCCAAGATTGTATCTTAACCTCTGCCCTCAATCCCACTGAGCATCTATAGAAGATAAAATATAAAAATCACTTTTCTGATGATCGAGTGTGAGCGAACAGAAAGTTTGGCTAAAGATGGAAACAGATCGAAGCTGAAGCTGGAAACACGGAGGAACGGGTTGGTTCTGTTCACAGATGTTGTGGAAAATTCCTGGAACCCAAGTGATTTCATCTGAACGCTAAACCTCCCAAAGCACCATTGGCAGGCAAGATGGCAGAGTAGAGATGACATCAAGAACAGGCTGTGCAGGTGACTTTTTGCCCCCCCCTCCCTTGGCTCGCTCCCAAATACTGTAAAATGAGACACATGTGAGCAAAAGTATTATTTTGGGGCGCTCCTCAGCTCTTCCCAGGAGGGTGGCACAGTTGCCCCCCTGGTGGTCTTCCTTGGGTCCTCGTATTCTGGGGCCTCTGGATGTCTGTGGCCTGGATCTCCTCCATGCCTGCTTCATGCCCTGGGGGACGGGGCTGTGGCTCCCCACACTCCCTAGCAGATCATTACATGGAGAAACCTTTTGAATACAAGCGTGCTGATCCACACAGGTGTGCACACAGGTGTACACACGGGTGTTCACAGACACAAACTACACCTTTCTTGGCTGCTACCTCAAAGCACATTGTGCGCTGTCGATCTTGCGTACTGCACAATAACATGTAATATTTAGTATCTACTGTTATCTACTGTTAGCTAGTTTATTGTGATGGTGCTGTATTTATTATGTTGCTCTTTTTTGTTTGTTTTCTCTTCTGTTTTTTCTTATCTCCATACAGGTGATCCAGGTGTTTTGTTTGTTTTTCATTTTCTTCTTCCCCCCTTTCTCACCATCTCTTCTTCCCTCTATTTTTCTTTCTTTCTCTCCCTCTCTTTCTTTCATTCTTTCTCCCTGTCCTATCCCCCAGTCATGTCTGTCCCGTCTGTAACAACCGAAAATCAAATCAAATAAATGCATAATTATAATAAAAGTCAATCAAATGGACCAATATGGCAAGGCCATGATGATCCAATAGGTAAAGTAAATCCTTCAGACAACAATTCTGATGGCTAAAGAGCCAAATGGGACAGGCGAAAAAAAAAAAAAAAAAGTATTATTTTGCATTTTTTTAAGTTATTTATTTTCATTTCATTAGTTCATTTTTTAAAATTAATTAATAAATTTTTAACTTATTTATCTAGCTGCCAGCATTGCTGAAACCATGTTAATAAAAAAAAAAATAAAAATCCACCCCTGTGTGCGATCAAAATGTCAGAAATATTTCAGCATTCCCATCGTCTGGGTTTACCCACACTGCCTGAACGTTAAAGAGTTCTTGCAGACTACAAACACGGGTGGGAAATAACCTTCCGGTCTGTTTCTGTGCTGTGGCATTTCAGGTGATTTTCATTCATTATGTTATGAAATAAATACGGCTGTTTACATTTAGACATCTCAGGACCTGACGACCTCTGAACACACCCTCATCAGTCCATCTCTCTGTATGCGCTCTTAAATAGCAAACTAACACATAACCATAGATTTCTCCTTTACACTGACAATTTCCCTAACAAATGAACGAGGTAAGGACAAACCTTTTTTGACTAAGAAAATCGAATTCATCATTGTGTTTACCACCAGAATACAACATATGCTGAAATCCTTCTAAAAGTGAGTTTTGCCACTCTGTAGCCATTTCGGTAATGCCTCTGGGCCGTTATTTTGAAGGTGTGCGTGTACAAACAAAGACTGAGCAACAGTGCTTAAAAATGCTCTCATAAACGCTCTGCTCACATTGATTCTTGCTTAACCCATATGGAAAAGATATATATAAATCTTATAAAGTTTGTATCTGTCTTGTATGGTTTGGATACTTACTAAAAAAAATATATGAAAGTAATAAGAAAGTGGCCACTTTCATGAGCAAATCATATAAGTTTTTACTATTTCTTTTCCATATGGGAAGATAAGGCTGAAAAACCTTCCCTCTGCCCCAAGCTTACACTTCTCTTCCAAACATGTAGAAGAAGTGTAAGCTTATACAGTTGGTATGAAGTGACCCAAAGGATACATTGTGTTGTTTACATCAAATTCTATTGTCCAATTTTGGTGAGCTTGTGTAAATTGTAGCCTGAGTTTCCTGTTCTTAGCTGACAGATTGCACCTGCTGTGGTCTTCTGCTGCTGTAACCTATCTGCTTCAAGGTCGTACATTCAAAGATGGTCTTGTGCCTTCTCTGGTTGTAATGAGTGACAATTTGAGTTACTGTCGCCTTCCTATCAGATCCTATGGCTCCAACAAGGCAAAACTGCAGCTCACTGGACATTTTCTCCTTTTCATTCTCTGTAAACGTAGAAATGGTTGCGAAAATCTCAGCAGATCAGCAGTTACTGAAATACCCAGACCGGCCCATCTGGCACCCTCAACCACGGCACATGTAAAGTCACTTAAATTCCTCCTCCTAATGATGCACAGCTTGAATTTAAGCAGGTTATCTTGACTGGGTCTAAATACCTAAATGGCACCCAGCTGCTTCCACGTGATTGGCTGATTAGATATTTGCTTTAACAAGCATCTGAACAGGCCTGCCTAACAAAGAGTCCAGTGAGTGTGATCTTCTCTACATGAAGATTTGTGCCAAATTTGATGAAATTCTTTCAGTGGTTGATGATGACTCAAAACATCACAACCGTATTTAATTCGTTTTAAAATAAGAATCACATCAGAATCAACTAAACAACACATCTACTTCTATACTCTAAACTACTATTTAGATCACTGTTGCTCAGACAGGTAGAAAGTTACTGCCTCAGCTACGCTGTCTACTCTGTGCAGCAACATGTGACAACCCCCGGGCAACGCCTGGGATGGCAGATGGATGCCTCAGTCCTAGCACACTTACCATGACGCTCAGCCTGATGCCGATTCCTGTAGTGGCATCAACAAAAGTGGCAACAGGACGGAATCACAACAATCAGACACACGTACGCTGCATCAGCACAACACACAGTTTGGAACAATGTAAATATTATCTTATTCTTTGGGGTTAAATTTGACTTTCCACACTTAATGTACAAATTATTTGAGGTTATTCGTAGTGCGCAGACTTACAGTACTTTTTTTTAAAAATCCCTCAAATGTGAACATTTTCAGGTTTAGCTGGTGTCCTATCATTTTAAACTAAACCCTACCCAATATGAGAAACTGATAAATCAACACTAGAAAAAGTGACTCATCTGCAGATGGTTCATCTCTAAGTGTTGTTGTTTCTTTAATACATCTCTTCATACATCCCTCATTATGATTTACTCTGTTAAACTCTCTTTATGCAACACTGACTACCTAAATTATTTCTGTCCAAACCTAAATTAGGAAATTGTAGCCATTTGTGACTGTAGCTGTCATGGTCTCACATCCCCCCGCCTTTTATTACATGGCACGTGGAGGAGTAAGATTTCTTCAGGCTATTTGTCAATTATGTATTTTCAGGATGCTGGGAAGTTTAGTGTTGAGTCCAGAGTGGCAGGGGTGAGCCCCTTCAGGTTGTTATGACAGCAGTCCTGTGTTTCTGGGGCGAAAAGAAAGCTCCATTTCCTGTTTAAGTTTTCCCCCCTTCCAGAAATGGCAACAGTTAAAAATAAGCTGTTTTGTTTTCCTCTGCTTTTCCTCCTGCTCTCTGCCCTGTTTCAGCTGGAACACACATGAAGTGTACATACCCTGCAGGTTGGACAGTGCGTATTCCAGCCCCTTCATGGCCTTCACCTGGTTGCTCTTGAAGCGAGCCAAACCAAACTCCTGTGAGAAGACAGAACAGGAAATGGCTTTACACAGGGGAGATTGTCTGGGAAACAACACCGTCTTGTCACTGCAAGTCTCTGGGGATATCCAAACAAGCCTGGCATCTTCCATATTTAATGATTCCAATTTAGTAGACTTATTTTTTGTTTTGTTTTTTTTGCTGTAATTTCACTTCTCCCACTACTTTATTTTAGCATGAGCGCTAAAGTAAAGATCTGAAAATTCAGGACATCGGCCTCTAGAATGAAAAGAATTGCATCTATTCTATCTGAACCGCCGTAGAGTAGATGAAAGCAGACGAATAAATGCTTCTAAGAGTACTCATATCATTCCTGTGCTGACTGACATCTAACTTACCTAAAGGGCAGATGGGCTCTTACTGAAAGAAAAGAATTCATTTACTGTCTTGTGTCTATCACACAAAGGAAAGCCAGAGTACAGACTGTATATAAAAGTTGGGAGAAGCAACCATGACATCGTTGTGTGGTTTGTGGATTATTTTTTTTGACTTTGCAGATTTAGCACGTTAGACATTTATAGATGGTTAGCGCAAACAGTTGATCTTACTAAGAAACTAAGAAAACGGCACAATAAATCTTTATACTGCTTAGTTTACTAAACACGGGATCATAACTTCTTTTAAAAAGGAACATCATGATTTGAATTTAGCAACCAAGTCCAAAAATGTAGGAGGATAGTGCTTACTTTGAGCTCCTAAATCAAATAAGAAGTCTGATTGTTTCCTCATAGAGGTCTGCTTGCAGCTACATGAGTTGCCCTCTGCTGGCAATGAGAGTGAATGCATGTCTCAGGCACATTTATATACAGTGGTTTTGGCTGGGGTCTGTCTGTACCTGAATGGGTTTGGAGAAGCCATAAATGCTCGAGGATATCCACGCCTCACGTTTCAGCTGTGTGGTCGCTGGATGCTCCACTGAGCCTTGGAAAACACAACGCTCCTCAACAGACTTGATTGGGGAAGAAAAGTGACAGCAGGTTATAATAAACTAAGATGCAACTCAACAGATTTACTATGGAAGTCATCCTTTCAGGATTTTAAGTAACTCGTGGTCTTGGCAAGAAGATTTCTGGAGACGTAACTTCACTAAAGATGATCTTTCTTTCTGCAAAAGCCTTTGAAGGATTTGAAGAACTGTTTTTGTCTCAACACCTGCACAGAACTACCATGTCTCAAAATGTTTTCCATATTTTCCCATGAAGCCATCATGTTTCAGACTGCAGCAAATTAAAAACACAAGCATCATCAAGTATGTTGTAACGTAGTGCAGTTTTCATTAAAGTTTTAAGAAAAGATCATAAAAATATAACATTTAGTTGTGCGTATAAATGCGTGTGCGAAATAAGGACCTCTGTCCTTGTGTGAACTGATTTCTTTATTCCTGTTATTGTCTGTGCCAGACTCTGGCAACCCACAGTACTCTACAACACCTGTAACCACAACAGTGATGTGATGTCAGACCACATTACTTTCCTTATATCATGGCAGCAAGATGACAGCTTTGACAGAAGTCCTACACAGTTTCACATGTAAAAAAACAAAACACAAACAACACATATCTACTTTCACAGCAACTTCAGCAGAAAAACAAGCAGAGTCAAGTGAAATTTTTAATTTCTCTCCACCACACAAGGTCACAAAGGCAATGATGATTAAAACCCATCAGGAAAAAGGCATAACACAGGAAACTGGCTGCGTGTTGATTAGAATCTCTCTGAAACAGCTCAACGAATAGACGGCAGGAAAAAAAAAAAAAAACAACAACAACACAAAGCCTCACCATGAGAGTTGTGTGGTTGAGGTTCCAGGTGTAGGTGGTCAGGCTCTTGTTCACTGGGTCCACGATGGAGTCCTCGATGATGTACACAGAGCGAGACATGCCGGCGGGGAAGAGCCGCTCCGCCCAGCGAGGCAATCGATTGGTCTTCATTAGAAGCCGTCTGGAGAGGAGCCGGTGGTCTGCTGTTACCTCCCGGTACACGACGTCCTCCGTGAGAACATGGGTGCTGGGTGACACAAAAACACACAGCCACATCACCTACAGGGTTACTGTGAGGCTTCTCATCTGTTTCTAGTGTACGTTCAAAGAGTGCACCATCATAATATACACCAAAAGAAAGAAGAAAAATACATGCAAGTAAAATATTCTGATGTCGTCTAAGTCAGGCATAAAAAAAACAAGAAGCACATAAACCACCTGCCCACCTCAATCAGCCAAACTTAGTTTTGCTTCTCTGATACACTGTCTCAGTTCTCAATCTCACTCAAGACTGACAAGCGTATTTTTGCTTGCGAGCCTCCAAAATTGAAACAATATACAGGCATCACCTGCACGACTGCCTAGTTTTGAAGAATGATTAAACAATACACAGGGCAGGGATAGCTCAGTAGGTAGAGTGGTGGCCCCATGATCGGACGGTCGGGGGTTCGACTCCACTGAACGGCTACCCTGAGGTACCCCTGAGCAAGGTACCGTCCCTACACACTGCTCCCCGGGCGCTGCACTGGTGGCTGCCCACTGCTTCACTGGGTGAATGGGTTAAATGCAGAGGAACTATTTCCCTATGGGGACTAACACGCACACTTTACTTTACTTTACACTTTACACTAAAACATTGCACTACATAATTATTTACATTTTCTAAACCACAGTTCAGCAAAGTTAATGTAATTCCTACTTTCCAACTAGTGAGGAGATCAGGGGAAATAGAAAGCATTTAAAAGATATCACACAGCATTCAAATGTTCACTAAAAGTAAAAGCCAGCAATGGTAATCCCAAAGTCAAAAAGGACTCGTTTTTTTGGCACCTTAATTTTTAGTAGCAAATTTTATGGCTCTCCATGTGACGGCTGAAGGAGGACTGACATCTGAAGGCATTCTGCTAGTGTTTTCTAATGAGCACCTTTGATAAAATACTGATTATGAGAATGCTGGAGTACCTGAATGGGTTTGGGTACCTCTGCCAGAAAGCAGAGACAACATGGTCCCATGTACTCCTGATGTCAGTGCTGCTACAGAAATACTTGACCATTTTTTTTTTGATGGTGTGCAGGACGGTGTGAATCCCAAACCCTGAGGTCCCTCGCTGTGATTATACAAATCAGTGAAAAGTTTGGTGCTGACTCCATCCACAGTCTGTGGTGATCCTGCAAAAGTGAAGGGAACAATGAGTAAAAAGGTTACGCGGATAAAAACGCTGAATAAAGAGTATTTTACTGCTGGGTGGGATGGACATGGTCAGCACCAATAGTCAGATAGGCTGTGGCATGTAAACGATGGTCAGTTGGTAATAAGGGGCCCAAAGTGTGCCAAGAAAGTATCTCAAACACTATTACAACTTCAACAGTCTGCACCATTAATAAAAAGCAGGATGGATCCACGCTTTCATGTCATTTACACAAAACCTCTGATCCTACCATCTTAATGTCTCAGAAATAGAGACTAATCAGACCAGGCAGCATTTTTACAAGCTTCTATTGCCCAATTTCAGGAAGCATGTGTGAATTGTGGCCTCAGTTTCCTGTTCTCAGCTGATAGGAGTAACAGCTTGTTCTGCTGCTTCAGAGCTTGATGTAGTGTTGGCTCTTTCGCATATCATGATTGTAACCAGTGTTCATTTGAGCTGCTATTGCCTTCCCATCAGTTGAATGTTCTCTGACAATCATTCAGACCTGCAACCAGCTCACTGGATATTTTCTCTCTCTTTTTTTGGGCTTATTCTCCATAAACCCTAGAGATGGCTGTGCAGGAAAATCCCAGTAGATCAGCAGTTTCTGAATGCTTAGAGCAGTCCGCCTGGTACCAACAACAACGCCACATTGAAATCACCTTAAACTCCAGCAGGTCATCTGGAGCATACCTGCCGGCCTAAATGCACCGAGCTGCTGCGATGTGATTAGTCGATTAGCTAAAACAATGTGAACAGGTGTATCTAATAAAGTGGCCGGTGACTTTATGTTTTTCGATTTTGTTGTATAGACTTCAATGGGTCCCCCAAATATCCATTCCCCCCCCCCAATTACAGCACCAATAAAACATTTTTGAAACCACCATTCGTTATCTTTTATTGACTTTTCACATTTTCATAGCTCAACATGACGTAGGTCCTTACGTAATATACGCACGTCACCTTGACATATGGTTGGCTGGTTATCGTTACCGTTGGTTTGCTGGACAGCTAAGAGCTACCAAGTTAGCTTCCAGAAACCACTTAATTAACCACATAATTCAAGTGATTTACCTCTAAATGTTATACTGAGCTTAAGTAAAAGACCGGTTATTTCACAGCTTAATGTTAACTGAGTTCAGAGTTTGACAGGAGGTTTACAGCAATAATACCGCACTTCAAGTTTCGGTAGCCTCCCGTTCCGTTAAATGGCCACTAACCGAAATGTGAAACATTCCGGAAATAGTATAAGCAAGCTTACCTGTAGTTGCTGCTACTTTAATGCTAGGCTAATAAATATTAATTGTTTGTTGAGCCTAAAGCCAACAAACTAACTGATGTTAGCTAATATTCATAATGTCATATGAACCCGGTCAGCCAGCTCCGAGTCGTAGGTCGGACCGTTTTACTGTAAAGCCACTTCCGGTTGTCGTTTTAAAGTAAAAGCTCTCACAAACATTTCTCTTTTCACACATTGGAGACTGCTGTGTGATACAAAGACCTGATTGCTATAGTCCCGAATTTTGAACCTTTAAAATATATATATATTTAACGAGGAACCTACAGTTTTCATAAAAGTACTCATGAAATACTTGTATTTAGATTCCCATCGTGCCTATTCTTGCCTGCTGGTGTTCTAATTTAAACAGTCAGCTAAAATAAACATTAGCTGCATCCATTACAATGTAGTAAAGACACTTATTTAATTCTAGAAAAACAGTGAGAAGATGAAGCCAGTGAACAGTTTTTACAGTTGTTCACTAAACGTCACTATGAGACCACCCTGCAGTAGGATATGTATGGTTGCCCATTATATCATTTCACACTCCTTGAATTTGTCCCAGACCAACAAATTGCCAAAGCTTCTGCTTTCATGGAGATGTTACACTTGCTGATGATCAGTGAATGCATTGCATCAGGAGCACCTGGCTGCTACTTTACTCTCTTAATTCCTATGGAAGCAGTAAGAGTGCACTTGGGTTTTTTTATTTACAGGGCTGCAGAGAGTCCTGTGATAACTTTCTTTTTCACGTGGCTGTGGTGTTGTTGAGCTCTCTCTGGTCAAACTCACATCCCAGTTTGCAAACCAGACTTTTAGAAATCATTGTTTTTTTAATGCTCACATGAACTGTGGAGTAGCCTAATCAAGACACTGTCCCTTTAAAAGGCCCGCTGAGGCTTCACGTCAGTCTTGTGTTTTATTTTGCCATCTAGTGGGCAGGATGAACCACAGACATGACAGTACCAGACATTTAAATTATTGATGAAAATCTCATTAATTCAGGTTTTCATTCTATTCTGGTCACTTTGAGGCTTTTGTCACCCACAAAACCAATTTCTGGATCAAACTATTCACAGATATTTGCAAGGAGGATGTAATGTGACAGAAGAGCTGGTGCAGGGATTACAGTCTCTGCATCAGTGTCAGGAAAACAAAGGAGATGATCATGGAGATAAGAACGATCCTCAAAGGGCTCCTGGCAGCAGCCTCCCAACAACTACAGACATGTACATAAGCAGATGCTGGAAAGAGCCTCCTGAAGCTTAAAAGACACTATTCACCCAGCACACACACCGTTTGTCTCCCTCCCTTTGGGAAAGTGGCTGCAGAGCAGAACCACCAGACTGAGGGACTTCTTCCTGGAGGCTGTGACTCTGCTGGCCCAACCCAAAGGTAACAAACACGAGAAAACACCTGTGTCTTTGTAGTATCCACCACACATTTAAAATTTGTTTTTTATTTATACTGTGAATTTATCATCTATTCCTGATTTCGGTATATATTGCTATTGTGTGAGCCCGCTTTTGTTCCGCTTAGAGCTGAGTGCAACATTTTGTTTCACTACTGTCATTGGTCCTCCAGTAACCAGTTCATGCAGCAGGTGGCGCGCTATAATACACCACAGAACGATATGTGTCCCATTTCCGACTCTTCTTCTTCGTCGGTGCACTTTCCTGCAGAGGGAAGTGTCCTCCATGGTGTCATTGTAGATCTTTCGAGGTTGAATATTAGTAAATAAGAGATGTCTGGGTACACACCAGACCAAAAGCTCCGTTTCGAGCAGATAACGAAGCTCCGGAGGCAGTGGCTGAAGGACCAGGAGCTCAGTCCGAGGGAGCCCGTGGTACAAGCTAAACCGCCTGGCCCTGTCGCCAAGTTCTGGGCTGGTTTTCTGGAGCCCAAGAGCCTGTGGAGGGTTTACGTGAGTTCTCGTACACAGCTGATCCGACGACCGCTAATAATGACATTTACAGCTGGAATCAAACCGAGCGGTATATCTGCTACTAGTAGCGTTTCATTAAGGACAAGGGCCAGGGTAGCTGTTTACTGCTAACGTGGTTGGTCGCGTTTACTTTGCAGGCTTCATGCCACACACACACAGACCGCATCTACTACAGCTTATATTGTGATGTTGTTCTATGTCAGTGACACAATCTATGGTTTTCCTTGGATTATCTTTAGTAGATACAAGAACTAAACTGCCTCAACTAAGCAGAAAATACTCTAAAATGTATTTTTTGTAATGGATTCTTTGTTTCCTTGCCACAGAATAGCAACAACAAACAAACATAAAAAATAAATGCTCAAATTGTAATTTTTAAGCATGGTGTCAGTAAAATCTGTTGCTTCAACAATACCTAGTTAGTTTAAAATATGCACTATAGTTTAATGCTGGAGAAAAATTATGGTTTGATTGACTCACCAATAAGTTTACAGACAACATTTTAAAAGTGACTAATCCATACCTATGCTATTAAACATGTTGTGTATTATGCATTGTTATGACCCTGACGAAGGCCATAAGACATAGCGGAATAAAGGAGAATAAATCTGTGCATCCCTAGCTTTTAGAAAATGTTGATACAAGGGTAGTCACTGCAGAGAACTTTACACAGAAAAGAAAAGAAAGTCAAGCAAGACAGAATAAATGTGTGTGTGAATGAGAGGAAAGCGGGTGTAATGGTGAAGACGCTAGAAGTAAAGATGGTCAAGGTGAATGGGCAAGATAAGATCAGATTAAATTATAGAAACAACTCAGGTTAATCAGTTTGGAGAGGTTCAGATGGTTTGGGCGTGTGCAGAGTGTGGCTTAGTGGATATATTGGAGATAAGATGTTGGGGGTCGAGCTGCGGTCTTCATAATCTGTAGAACACTGAAAATCTTTAGGCCCTTTATCTAAACCGTATATCACATATTCCACGTCTTTAGCAAAAGAACAAACTCAGTCCCTGTAAACATTATGATTCTGTATGTTCTTCTCTTTACTGATATTTGTTTGTCCTTGCAGACCTACAAAGCGTACAGAGGTGGAGTTTTCACATTAACACGGCTGCTGATACCCGCTTGGATTGTTCACTACTACGTGAAATACCATGTTGCTGTAAGTTTCCACATTTGATCATTTTTATTTATATCTAAGCCTTTAAATACAGGAGATGGATGATAGAGCCATAATATGAAGTTCAAGAAGATAGCTATTTTTTTTTAAATTGTATTTAATTTGTTTGATAGTATGCAACCCAGGTAACTTGAAAGAAGAAAGAGTTTTAAGTTACAGACATGCAGTATTAACTTATTCTTGGCCAAACTAGAGAACCCTGCACCTTGGATTTCGTTTGTAGATGGAGATCATGTGACTGATTCGATCAGAATGGGTAGCATATTAAAATTCCGTGTCATTGTTCCCTACAGCAAAGGCCGTATGGCATTGTGGAGTTGAAACCCAAGCTGTTCCCAGTAAGTGTGACCCATTTATTATTTATTACTTCCAACGGTTAATTTTTTTTTCTCACATAATACCCCATTTATTCTTCATATATTTGTATAAATGTAACTGAATGTTACCTTGTTTTACCATAACTAATACTTTTTTTGTGCTTAGGGTGACACGATCCTGGAGACGGGTGAAGTTGTTCCAGATCTCCCAGAGACCCACGGCCATCATTGAAGAGGAAATAGTTCAGCTTTTTCCTTGAGTTTCTCTTGTAAAAAATTCTGTATATGTGATTAAAATACTCAAAAGTTATGAGTGTGAGCTTGACTTAACAGAATAAATTAGTGATAGTGTTTTAGTAGAATTCCATCCATCCATCCATTCGCTTCCGCTTATCCTTTTCAGGATCGCGGGGGGCGCTGGAGCCTATCCCAGCTGTCATAGGGCGAGAGGCGGGGTACACCCTGGAAAGGACGCCAGTCTGTCGCAGGGTCAACACACAGGGACAGACAACCATTCGCACTCACATTCACTCGCACATTCACACCTAGTGGCAATTTGGATTATCCAATCAACCTATTCCCACAAGTTGCATGTCTTTGGACGGTTTTAGTAGAATTGTTTGGTTTTTTTTTTAATTTTTAGTTAGAGATTTGTTCTCTTCTGTCAGGTGATGTGTAAGTTCATAAAAAAAATTGGTAAGCTTTAGGGATGCTGTTGGCTGGGAAAGGGGAGCCCGAGGACTAATCTGTGTGATGTGTTCAAGAAATACAACCTGGTATACTCCTTCAGCATTCAACAACAGACAGAACCTAAAATGTAAAAAGTAATATCTTTTATGGAGGACAAAATCTGTTCATAGTAACTCTAGCTACATTAGATCTTCACAAATCATTACAGTTTGTATCCTGATGGTAGTGGTCTCTTCAGGGTTGATTACATACCCCTAAGGGCAAGAGCAGTGACTAAATGGCTTGGGTATGAAAACTACTTAAATCACATGCTGTGGGCTTAAAGGTCACTAGATCTTAACACTTAACAATTCCATTTACAGTGCCAGTTGTAAAGAATTTATTTGAGAGGAGGTTGTGCAGTCAGTCGATCAGAGTTCATTTTTGCAAAGATGGCCATGTGCAGATGAACACTTGAAAGATGCCTTTAAAAAAAACCTTGTGACCATGATAATGTGACAAAGATGTCACCTGGGATTTGCAAAAGCGTATTTACTTAAAACCTCGACCTCAACTTAAAGATCACATGTGAAGTTTTCTGAAAATCATGTGAATGCAATAACTCAAGAAGAATAAGATACCTAGGATTTCTAAATTCACGCCATAAGTGCATCTAATCCATAAGTGTATCTACTGCACTTATGGCATGAGTTTTAAAGAAAGTCATCCTTCTCCGAAATGTTTTTGCATAGGTTTGCTGACAGGCAAAGGGCACTAAAAATATAATTGTAAATATGACGATAGCGCTTGATATTATTGTTATGGGCGCTAATTTCCCCACCCCCCGGAAACCTGAAAATTGAACTTTTATTGTGAAGGAAGTTAGCGGAAGTTGCTCATTGAATTCACGGTCTGTTATGGAAGAAAAAGGGGTTCATAGTTCTGTCAACAGCCGCTCCAGGACTGATGGCCATTTAGAAATTAATGTGTTTCCACAATAAGGGGAGAAGTAATCAGGTGTCACCGCATTCGTGGCTGTCTGAAGGATTCAGAGGTAATTATTACTTAACTTTTCTCGAACGTCCCGGGTAGCCACAGAGTTCCAAGCTTTGTAACGTCCGTAGCTAGCCTGCTAACTTGAGCTAACCTGGTCAATGTGTGCTCAAACTACTGTTTATTGTTTTGCTAAGTCACGTTGGTGTTTATGTAACATTTCATATACCCCAGGGGCTTGTTACTATATATGTAACAGCTCTTAAAGACGATTTTTAAGTTACAGTGTCTAGATATTATTCAACTTCTCCAAAAGGAAACACAAGTGTTGTAGTTGCTAAGCTAACAAAATGATAAACAGAAACAAAGTGGAAAACGGTTATTGGGGGTATTCCAGTGTATAGATTTTATTCTGTGACATGTCTGTCGAGATTATCGATGGCCAAGAAAGACATTTAGGGGCTGTGTAATATGTATTTTATCGCTCATGTAGCTCATAAATAGTTGTTCCGAATGGCTAACTGTAATAATATTACTGTTAACAATATCGCTCGCCATGTTATCCTCAAGCAAGCACCCATTCCTGTTGTTTGTAGTGTTTTTTTTTAACCAACGTTTTAGTATAATATAATGACATGTAGCCCTACCAGTATATCAGTGCTCAGACATGAGCCTGCCACAGATGTGCCATCGTCATGTGTGTATATGTTGTATGATAGGCAACAAAATGAATATTACAGAACATAAAGCAGAAAAAGTTGTGTGGGTGGTGTTCTTACCTTAAGTCAAATTCATTAATAGACAAACAGTAACCTTATCGTGTACTCTTCCCCTCACGACCCCACAGGAGTATCTCGCCATAGCGAGATATTTATATTATTTATTACTGATGGTCATCAGGGAAAGATGCTTTTAACATTGTAGACCCACCACTTTTCATGCACCAGAGTTTGAATTGGAATAGTCCTCCAGAAATAATGACACTATTTTCTGGAGAATTGATTGGTCAGGAGGAGGTGATCTCTGATCTTGCTCTGGAACTGGTTAGGTCTGCAGTATAAGTTACTATGGCAATGTTCCCCTGGTAAAGAAGTGAACTGCTTTCATAGTACAGAAAACCCAGATTTAGCCCTGAAGTTACATGGATAATCTTCAGCACCTGCTTTGTAGGGGGTTCTGGTCTATGATGACTTACAGCTGAATTACAGATGTAAAACACAATTAGTTTGTTATTGAGGCCGCAGTTAAGTGTTTCTGTACTACATTTAATGAAGATATGCATGTGGTGTTTTGTAATGTTCGTTTTAGCCAATGTGAGGATAGAACAGGAGAAAACAAATAATGCTGACCAGTACAACACCCCACCTCTTTTATCTCTAAAACATGTAAATGAATGACAATATTGTGAAAAAGTGAAGATTAGGGACATCGTAAGTGGCTAACAATTGTTTGTTGAAAAAACTTTTTTCAGTGCAGCCATTTTTACCCCAACACCGCAGGTAAACACAGATGTTACTGATCACATCGATTAAGGCTTTGGCCTGACTAGAACAGAAGCTTCATTAGTGGCATTGCTAACACCTGTGGCTGCTGAAAAAAGGTGTTTACAATATGTGTGAAGATATATTTGTAACTTTAATGTTTTCTATGTTGAACCTGACAGAAACCAAGTGAAGTCGCACAGTGTCAGAAAATGTTATCAATGTATAATGTAAAGTGAGCCACTCAATAACATCTGTATAAGTCACAGTGTAATCAAGTGCATAAAAGTTACATTCTTGTCCTCTAACAGTGTTTATTATAAAGTCAAACTAGTAAAGTTTAGAGCTCCATGAATGCCTTTTTTGGGTAAATGTATTTAACTATTTTTCATTTTTCAACGTGTTTTTGTTATCATGTCAGATCATGTCAGCAGTCAAGCTCGCCCTGCAACTGAGCCAAAGAAATGGCAGAAAAAGGTCCTCCGAAACAAAATCTGCAGAGGTGTCACCCGACTCCAAGTGCCCCATCTGCTTGGACACATTCAGCAACATTTCCCGCCTTGACCGCTGCTTGCACAGGTTCTGCTTCCGCTGCATTCTCGAGTGGTCCAAGAACAAAGCAGAGTGTCCGCTGTGTAAACAGCAGTTTAATTCAATTTATCACAGTATAAAATCAGAGCAAGACTTCAAGACTTATGACCTGCAGCCAGTGGACAATGGCTCTTTTGGTTATTTTCAGGGAGTGCGGTTTAGATACCGCACAACTCTCACCGCAGCCCATCGACAGTTGAGAGGAAGGATGTCTCTGGCTCCTGACATTGGTATAATATCTGAAGGCCCAACAAATTCTTCCCAACAGCGGCCAGACCGTTACATGCGGCGCATGATGATGAGGCTGGCAACCCAGAGGAGAGCTGCAAGGGAAGGCAGGGCGGTGGCCAGTGTCCGAGAGCAAGAAATGATCAACTTTAGACGGGAACTGTACCGACGGGGGGTGAGGGTTCGAAATGTTCAGGATGGTGGCCGCTCTCGAGACACCTCAGCGGAGTTTTACAGAAGAAATCCAGCCTGCCTTCACAGACTGATCCCCTGGTTGAAAAGAGAGCTGAATGTGCTATATGGAACCCATGGCTCTTTGGGCAACATGGTTCAACATATCATCATGTCACACATTACACGATATAACATGGAAGACGGAGCTATTCAGGAAGAGCTCAGGCACTACCTCCACAGTCACGCAGAGCATTTTATGCACGAGTTCATCAGCTTCGCAAAGTCCCCCTTCAACATGGAGGCATATGATCAGCACGCTGTCTACGACTGTCCGGCGCCTTCCTCAAATGAAGACAGCAGCTCCAACTCATCAATAATCGCTATCTCAGAGGATGAAGACAACTCTACAGGGTTGAACAACCCAGATGACTCCACATCTGCTTTGAGCCTCTCGTTGTGGGATGATGAGACACCTGGGCCGTCGTATTCTACGACAGCAGAGCAGGGCAGGACAGAGCGTCTGTCAGTCTTGGACTCAGACTCTGACAGTAGTTTGGAAGAAGAGACGCAAGAGTTTGCGTCACCACAGCAAATGAGTCCTCATAACCAAACAGATCTGACTCAGGGTAAACGCAATAATGAAGACTGTGTATCTTCTGACAGTGATGACTGTGTCATTGTGGGTTTTGTTAAACCAACAGCAGACCGGACTCCTCAGGTGGTTCAGCTTTCCTCTGACTCTGAGTGGTCTGCTGACGATACTCAAGAAGTGCCTCTTCAGCCTCAACACATTCGATTCACCAGTAGCAGTCCTGCAACTCTACATAGCAGTGATCGTAGTGGGGCTGGACTATCAGAAAATGTAGACACAGATGATCGTCACCACTCAAGTTCAAAAGAAAGATCAAGCAAGACGTATAAGAAGTCAGACAGAAAAGGTCAGGGTAGAAGATTTGACAGCAAAGAGAGATCTAAGGAGAGGCACAAATCAAAGGACAGACACTATAGGAGGAGGAGGTCAAGAAGTAAAGAGCGGAGGCACTCTAGCAGAAGCCCGGTGATCTCCCACAGCAGTGTCAGCACTTATTCCACTGAAAAAAGTTATTCTTATTCAAATGGCAGAGACTACTCCAGGTGTGACAGATATAAAAGGGACAGTGATTACACCTACCAGTCATATAGCCATTACAGCCAAGAGAGAAACAATAGCGGACTCCATTACACACAAAGGCACTCGTACTATTACAGCAGCCGCAGATGCTCAGGTTTCCGCTCTCGCTCCAGTAGCCGCGACAAGGATTTACGGAGACGGTACAGGAGGCGCTCTCGATCCAGGACTTATTCCAGCAGCCACTCCCCTTCTGCCAGAAGGAAATCTCATTATGACAAGCCTGGTGGGAAGAGGAAGTACAAAAAAAGACATTTAGAGGACCCCTCCAGTACCACAGCGTTTAACTCCCATGCAGACGGTGACTCCTCTGCATTAAGAAAACACAAGAAAAAAAGCAAAGAGAAGCACCGTAAAAAATCCAAAGAGAAGTCTAGAAAGACCAGCAGGAGTCTCAGTGTGGAGCTCCTCAATGAGGAAAAGGCACATGAGCAGGGCAGGTGTCACCATAAGAAAAAGAAGAAACACAAGAAGAAAAGCAAAAGGCACAAGAGCAGCGAACGCACAGAGAAGCGTTCACCCACTATCATTACCATTGATAGTGACAGCGATTCATTTGCTAATGACAGTATCACTCAGGTCACTAATGCTAATAATGATAAGCCCGCAGACGATAGGACAGATGACACAGTAGACACTACCCCTGCAGATACACTGTTGTAATCCTATATCAGATTTTTACCCTCAGCTGCTGCCACCTGCCACCATTTTTTTTTTAATCACAACAGTGTTCAGTAGGGTGAAAGCACATATCACATGTTTGCTATAGTGATATTACATTGGACACTGACAAACTGATGGTATGATGTATGCACAATGAGAAAGATGACCTTTTTAGACCTCCATGGCCTGATTTAAAACAATGCTTTTATATCTGCTATGTGCTACTATGTGTAAGACAAATGGAATAATATTGGAAGTGTCGTCTTTTTGTTGTTGTTGGTTTTTTTGTTTTTTAAGAGTCAGTTCTTACTCTGTATTATGTGCTGAGGGTCTCTCAGGGTTAATGCTGATTACAATTTGTGCTGCCATCAGTCGGCTATAATCTGGAGACAAAAGAATATAATGTTTTGATTTCAAAATAACTTCATTTGTATTGAATTTTATTTCTAAATAAATTGTAAAGATTCATTGTGTGTCAGAGAAAAAGAGCATAATTACCAGTCACAGTATTTCCCCCCTTTTTTTACTGTATTACGTTACAGCTTCAAACTCAAGCAAACAGTATAAAACAGGGCAGATCCAAGATGTGAATGGAGAATGTACGTCAAAGTACATTAAATTTATAGAAAAAAAAATTGGTGGTGAAATGTTTGTAATGAATCTGATAACATGCAGTAAACCACAGGAAATGATAACAATTAAAACCTTTATGAAGGTACTTAAGGTATGTGTTATTTTAAAGGGTTGTAAAATAATAATGCAAAACAGAAATAAAGTATTCAAGCACAAAATCCCCATATTACATCTCAAGCTTCAAATGGAGTGGACTACAATATTCTGGTGAACTGAATTGTCCTACTATGTAATAGATGAGATCTCTGTTTGTCTGCAAACTCCTCCCACACAATCAGGAGTTCAACAATGAGCTGGCACACAGGTACATCATTGTTCCCCTGAAGTTTCTTGTGTTTCTTTATCAGATGCTATGGCATCACTATATTGCCATATGTAGTAACACTGTAACACTTCATAAAACCATTTGATTTTGTGATAACATCTCATTTAGTTAATATTGAATATATTTGTTGATGACACTTCAGTTTATGCAGTCAAGCTTACTTTACATAGTGACTATACCGACTAATGTTGGATAAATACCATTCTAAAATCATAGTTTATCCAGGACACTATTTTATGCATTTCTGTCAGGTGCTTGTTATTCATGTTTATTTGTATTTTTAGTTGTGTGAAAAGGAAAATTTCACAGGACTCTCCCGTCATGGGAAATATTAAGCATACCTAATGAGTAATGTTTCTGTGTGACTTCATCATTTTGGCCCACACTTTGTTCCTTGAGGTTTGCATGCATTCATTTATACACTGGTGTCTTAGTGGTCTGCCACAGCGTTTCAGTCAGGTTGAGGTCTGGAATTTGCACACCTTGATTCTTTTCTTTTTCAGCCATTCTGTTGTAGATTTGCTGCTGTTCTCACTGGCTTGCTTCACAACAAAATTTCATCCAGGCTTTAAATGTTGGACAGATGGGGTCACATTTGACTTGAGAATACTTTGGTAAACAGAGGAGTTCATGGTCAACTCAATGACTACAAGGCGCCCAGGTCCTGTGGCTGCAGAACAAGCCCAAATCATTACCCCCTACATCACCCCACTGACACTTGGTATGAGGTGTTTGTGCTCATATGCCATGTTTGATTTCACGACACAGGTCACTGTACATTATTATGGTCAGACATCTCCCCTTTGGTCTCATCTGTCCAAAAAACGTTGTTTCAGAAGTTGTGTTTTTTAAAGTTGCAAACCTAAACTATGCTAAAATGTTTGGTTTAGAGAGAATAAGCTTTTTCCTGGTAACCCTTTCAAACAAACCATACTTGTTCATCCCTTTTCCAATTTTACTCTTAATGAACTTTAACTTTTAACATGGCAGTTAAGTGTGTAGTGTAGTCCCTGTAGAAAAGTAGATGATTTTTTAACCTCATAGGACCTGGCGTCCGCATATGTGGACATCATATTTTGGGTTATTTAGACCAAAATACTCAATTTTGCTCTACAAGGCCCTGATATTCACTTACAAGGACATTATACTGCTACTGTTCTATCGAAAATTTAAACGAATATCCTCATATATGGCTCTCATTTTTATTAGAAAAAAAAAATCAGGTAATTCTTTGTTTTTACATTCACCAGGTCTCAGTATGCCCAAATATCAAAGAGAAATTAAAAATGCATGCCATGGAAGGTCTTAGGAAGTTAAAATAATCTCTCTGAGCACTGCATGTTCTGAGCTTGGGTGTAGCCTTTGACGTTCACTCCTATGAAGACTGGGACTTTTTTAACATACGCCTGAATGGTCCAGACCAGCAAACTACCAAAAACAGAGGCGCTCATATTTGCTGACGAGTGCCTACTTGTTAATCAACTGCGTTTGATTAGCAATACCTGGCTGCTACTTACTCTCTTAATTCGTATGGAAACAGTAAGGGTGTGCTTTTTTTCACAGGACGGCAACTGTTGGTAAACCATAAGATATGTAAATATGAAACCAAAATGAAAGTTAAGCGAGGAAATAATCTTTTACTAAATGGTTGTATACTCAGTGAACAAAATCTTGCATACCAATTTTTCATTATATACCTGACTTGTTTCTTTAATGTTGCACTGGATGTTTGACGTGGTCATATATAGATGTAAATTGTTTTGCTGAATACAATCATACGATTAATTCATTACTTGTTTTCTTTTTAATTGTGCATTTAAATATATAAACATCATGACCAGAACAAACATTACTATAACAGGGATGTTTTATACATAAAAATAATCAAACGTTGCTTTGCTTTTATTTTGGAAAAAAATTAAAAAGAAAAAAACAAACAGGAAGAGGAATTTGATGTCCCGCTTCCTTTCGGATGTATAAAAGCCGGAATTTGTCTAGCTCTACTGTTAACAGCAAGAAAGCTGTCGTTATGGCGTCCGCTGTACCTATTAAGGTATTAACATTTACTTTAATATCGTTTTAGTGATTGAATGCTGTGTGTTTGTCTTTGACAGAGGAGAAACATCCATGAAAAATGTAACTTAAAGGCTGCTGGGGCGCCGTTAGGTATGCCAGGAGAAGCCCTTAACCGTTAGCACCGTGTTAGCAAAGCTTTACAAGTCTGTAAAGTACGCTCCCTGCCTTAATAATACAAGCTAAAATTCAGGTGCTAACGTACTGATTTCTGTTAAGGTGTCGTACTGTTAAAAGAAGCTAAAGAGTGATTATGTCAGGTACAGCTGGTATGGCACGTGGCCAGAGTAAGTGCACGCGGCTGCTGTACTGTTACAGCTGTCAGCAGGGTATCAAAAAATGTGTAAAACTGTGCAGGTCATAAAAGCTCAGTACAAGAAGCATGTTAAAACATTGCATAACTACACTTCTTATCAGAAAGATGAAGTGGGGAATGAAATTGATTGCTGTGTTTGTGCAAGCAGCTTTTCAACTGCTCATTAACACAAATGTGTAATTAGCAATCAAATGGAAGCAAGTCCATGCAGATGGATGTTCAAGATGACCTGCTGAGCACCAGAATATGGAAGATTTGGGGGGGGATTTCAGTGACTTTGAACGTGACATTGTGTTGGTGCCACACAGGCTGGTCTACTGGGATTTTCCTCCAGTTTACAGAGAGTTGTCTGAGAAAGAGAAATTATCCAGTGAGCAGCATTTCTCTGGGAAAAGGTGCCTTGTTAATGCTACAGGTCAGAGGAAAAAGACCAATCTACTTCGAGGTGATGGGAACAAGCTCACCAAAATGAACCATAGAGAACTGGAGAACCGTTGCCTGGTCTGCGTATTGATTTTTGCTCCAGCATTCAGATGATAGGATAGAATGTGGTGTAAACAACATAAAAGCATGGATTCAGGTGCTGCTGGTGGTGTAATGTGACGGATATTTTCTTGGCACACTTTGGCCCGCTTAGTACTTAACTGAGCATCGTTTAAACACCACAATCTACATGAGTATCTGTAGTTTTCAAGTGAAATTGGAGGTACTGGGACACACCCATCAACATGCCTGTAGCTGTTCATACTTTGAAACCACAGATCCTGGCAGCAGTGTAAGGTGATCAATTCTCTAAAAGTTGCAAGTAGATGTCACTGAACTGGAGCTTTGGGAGAGGCATTGCCACTTTCAAGGATTTTAACTAGAGCTGCCGAGGCACAATATGGAGTTTCTCTTCATATCTTTGTTTTTCATCCATGGATAGATGATCCAAGCAGAAACAGGTGTTCCCCCCCTCCTTGTCTTGCGGTACATCTAACTGTCCGCTATTGGTTGTCACGACAAGGTATGTTTTGCCCTATAGGGTAGTGAGTCACATACTTGGTTCATGGCGCAGCTGTGGGGCAGATAGACACACCTGAGCTCGATCAGCTCATCACGCCTCCCTATTAAACGCGCCGGGACCTGAAGAGTTGGTTGTTGTTGTGTGTAGGACGCAGCTGGAAAGCTGCAGGCGTGTTTTAAGGAAAACGACAACCGGAATAAACATGTGTTTAAGAGCGAATATGTGGTCAGGTCTGTCCTTACTGCCACAATGACTTAAAACTCTGGAATGTTAATGACCATGTCTATCCCTTTATGACCAGAGAGCAGCCACCAGATATGCAACAATAGTATTTATGCTGCAGGAGTTGCTGCACTAGCTATGACAGTGTACTGGTGTGTGCTAAGCAGTCGTGAAGTATATTCAGTTCTTGGTTGAAACTGATAGAGGGATGTTGTGTCAACCCTATGATTGTTTTGGACTATGTAGTTAGTAGGGGTGCAACGATACACAAAATTCACGGTTTGGTTCAATACTTTGGTGTCACGGTTCGATATTTTTTTGATACAAAAAAGGTTAATGCCTTTTTGATTTGTCATTTATTAAAATTATAAATATAAATTTTAACTCAAAAGTACAGTTCACTATACTATACGCTTCTTCTGGGCTATATTCTCAGCAGCATATTAAACATATCAGGTCCCCATAAGGAGAATCATGTGCTAACGGCTGTCTAAATAACTCAGGTAAAGTTTGTAGCATGCCTGCTTGTTGTTTTTGTCTGCTTCCACTTGTCTTTGCACTAGGATGATGTCGGAGTAAATGTGCAGTCATATTCGTTGTGTTCCCACTAGTGCTGTCAGCGTTAATCTCGTCAAAATGACGTTAACGTCACAACACGGCTCGTTCTCCGTTAACGAGCTACCGCGGATCGCCCCGTGCGTCAGGCTGGACGACGTCAACGCGTTAACGAGCAAACTGCGCTAACGCACTAGTTCCCACCAATGTAATTGAGCATTGTGTGGCACATCGACATACTGTTTTACTTTTGTCCATGACGCGCTTACCTTCAGGGTCATACGTCACATGAAAACCAAAATGGTTCCAAATGCCAGATCTGAATGAGGGTGGGGGAGGTTCAACTTGCCATGTTGCAACGAGAGCTTAACTTCTGTCTTGCTCGCTTGCCCTGCGCTCAGTGAATCTGCGTTCGACTACTCCGCCTAGGCTGCACTGTCGAGCACAGATCCACTGAGCGCTCAACACAGACAGCATCGTCAGAAGGAAAGTTGATAAAATAAATTTAAAATTTTGTATTGTTCGATACATATGCGTATCGAACCGAAAGCACTGTATCGAACGGTTCAATATTGATAAGAGTATTGTTGCACCCCTAGTAGTTAGTGACATTCTTAAAATATTTCACTTATTTACATTTAAACATTTTCTAGACAAAAATTATAAATGAGCCACGAAATAAGCTGTTGGAGTTTTTCTCCTATTAAAATATAGTGAAAGGTTAAGTATAAATTAAATCATTTAATAAATGGCAAATTTGGCACTATTGTTGGCAGCTCCTTCTCTCTTTTTTTTCTTTTTCTTTACTGCATCAATTCTGTGGTCTTCCTTTCAACATCCTTTGTCCAATATATCTTCTGTACTTCCATTCTTCACATGTATGATAGTAAATATGTAATTAGCTGCTTTGAGGTTTTTGTTTTGTTTTTTTATTTTGAAAAGTCTTTTAAAAAACGTGTTTCAAGAGATTCATTCTATAGACTGAAGTTGTGAACTGTTCTCATATCTTTCAGATTGGAATAATCGGGGGTTCAGGTCTTGATGATCCAGATATCTTGGAGGGAAGAACTGAGCGCTATGTTGAAACACCATATGGGAAGGTTAGTTGTATCTTGTGAAGTCGTGCTCCAGGTGAAGACTCCAGACTCTATTTGGGTTATGCCCTGTCTTACTTGTGAAATATTGTACTGCCTTGACAATGAAGTTTGTGTGTATATATAAATTATCCTGGTCCTCCTTTAAACAGCCATCAGATGCCCTGATATTGGGGAAAATAAAAAATGTGGACTGTGTTCTCCTAGCAAGGTAATGTGTCTTCTCTTTTTCTTTTTTTTTTCCCCAATTGTGAAAATTTCCTCTCCTTTTTCTCCATCTAGTGGACAACTGTATTATTTGCACATACTAGTTATTTCATGTGTGTGTGGATAGATTTATTTTTTTAAATTTTTTTAAATTTTATTTCTCTTTTTTTTTTTTTTT